TAAAAGCTACTCATTGGATTTTGTTTATTTCTGATAATACTGTAATATATTTTATTCTGGGGACAGTGTCTGGAAAAGGGGCTCTGGAGAAGGTCAGTGACTGAAAACTGACTAGAAGAAGTGAATTTTGAGGGGAGATTTGAAGTAGGAGAGTGAGGTTGCATCATGCCCCAGGTCAAAGAAACTGTTCTAAATACGGGGGTGGAGTAACTTATGGGGAAAGGTTGCATAAGGGCAAGCTGAGTTGGCCTGGGGAAGGTATTGGGAATACACAGAAATCATTTGTAAAACGGGTGTATAGTGGTATAAAATTCCTGGTGCAGATATCAAAGAGACTGTCCTGCTAACATCTGAAAGCCTGACTGATTTATTTTAAGATGAATGCTTTAGACTGCTGCAGAGTTTATGGAACTAGTGTTGCATGTCAGGGTGAGCTATAATCAAACCAATCCAATCGGCAGTCCTCAATACTCTTCCTTGTAATGCTTTGAAAGTTCTATCATTAACCTTATCAATTTTTCTGTTGTACATGCTCCACACTCAGTTTCTTAATGAGCTTGACTCGAGTTTAGTGCAGCAATGCTACATTAAAGGGCTATTTTCTAACTCACAGATCTGGAAAATAGGGTTTAATCAATGACCATTAGACCTTGCTTTCCCTTCTGGCATACAATGCCTTCTTTTCATTCAGGGTTCCTGTATTATTGTTTTAATAGGTTATGATTGGCATTTGGCACTGTGTTACAGGGGCAGACAGGCCCTATTAATAGGAAGAAATGAAAGTATTATGGAAGAAAACAATGTAAGCAGGACAGAAAAACTCAAAACTAAGACCCAAATTCTGTCACGCTCTCTTCTTTCCTCATGACATCTGATTTCCCCTCAAAGTACAAAGGTATACAGCCAACAAAGGCAAAATACCACCAAAAATTATTGTGGAAGGTTATTTTCTAGGTATAAGCAATAAACAATCCTAACCAATGCTAAGAACATGCTTTTTTCCTTGCATCTGATGGGCTCAATCATGACGGTTTTACTCAGTGTCTACTCCTAAAGAAATTCACCCCTGTGCATTTACGCCCTCAAATGCTTATTTCCTATTAATAAGACCTGTCTGCCTCAAAAGACTTCAGTGGGAGCTGAGTGGTACATATGCTTTTTGTGTTCCCTTTACACAAGAAAGATTTCCAGTTACTCTGTAAACCTCCCATTGACTTCAACAATGTCAAGTAGACATTGAAGGCCTGATTCTATGAAGCTTAGAGTGCCTGAGAAAGGCTCAATCCCAGGATTTGGCTCCATGATAGTTAACAGGTGTTCATCAGGTTCTCAGCTTCTCGTTGGAACTGGCCACATGACACTAGCTCAGATCTCAGCAGACTGTGAGAAAACAGGTTGTGAGCTCAAGAAAATGTGCCGGTGCCAACCTGCAGTAACAAGCACAGAGCAACTCAGCAGCTGTTAGATTATTAGGAGGAGGAGCTCCCCATTCTGCTCCTCCTCCACATGATGTTTTGGGCCACTTTTCCCCTGGCCCAGTCACAATACACATTTCTGCCGCAGCGCTCTCATTTACATTGAATTTTGTGCTCTATGTATCTCAATAGCCAGAAAACCATGAAGATACTGGGCATCTCCACTAATATGAAGGAATGGAATAATACAATAATGGGCCCAGTTTTTTTCCTAGTCAAGCCAATGGGGATTCTGAAATTGACTTCCATGGGACAGTGATCAGGCCCTACATCAGTACTGGGCCTATCTGAACACTGATGTGAGTGGAATTTTTTATATTTGGACAAAAGGACGAAAATGATTTCATCTATAGTTTTAATCACATACACATGGCAATTGCTACTGAAACAGGAAGAGAATCAAATGGGAACTTGGGTCTAGATAAATATAATAGTTCTATATGTATTCAAGTATTTTGTGAAAAGCAGGAAGGAAAAAAATTCACAGGCTGGTGTGATCCCACATAGCACATGTTCCCTTTGTTACAGTAGTAATTATTTCAGTTCATGCACTGTATGAAATGCAGACTGGATTTCATTTTTATGCACCCTATGACTAGGGCCCAGAAGCCCCCTGCAGGAGGCCTCAGGGTCCTGCACACCCTTCCCAGGAAAGGAGCAGTGGAGCTAAGTCCTTCAAGCAGCCTAGAGAAATCGGCAGCCAATTAGGAGGCTGCAAGGGGCTAGCCAATTAGAGGGTTGCAGGCTAGTATAAAAGGAGCTACAGTGCAGACCAGCATCAGTTCCTTGCTTGTGTCAGAGGAGTTCAGATGCTGCTCCTGGCTGGCTAAAGGGAACTGTAGCACCATGGACAGCTCAGTGCTGGCAGGGACTGGGAGAGAGAGAAAGAGCTCCTGGCTGAACATAGAAGAGCCCTGAAGCACTGGTGAAGGCTGGGGCTGCAGGGAAGTGGCCCACGAAACTGAAAGCAGTTTTGTTAGAGACAAGGGCCTGGTATACACTACGACTTTAATTCGGATTTAGCTGCGTTAATCCGAATTAATCCTTAACCCGTCCACACAACGGAGCCAGTTACTTCGAATTAAAGGGCACTTAAAATCGATTTCTGTACTCCACCCCGACGAGCGGAGTAGCACCAAAATCGATTTTGTTAATTCGAATTAGGGGTAGTGTGGCCGCACACCACCGAATTAATGTGGTTAAAATTAATGGGGTAGTGTGGCCGCACACCACCGAATTAATGTGGTTAAAAACCGAATTAATGTGCTTAGTGTGGCCGCACACAATCGAATTTATACAATCTATTTCCCAAATTCGAATTATCTAAATTCGAATTAATCTCGTAGTGTAGACGTACCCATGGTGATCCCTGTGCTAGAACCTGGAGTAATGTGCCGGCCTGGGTCCCCATAGGCCACTGGGGAAGTGGCTTACAATTAGACAGCGATAAACCCCCAGAAGGTGATCTGAACTGTTAAGAGGCCCAGCCGGAGAGCTGGGGCCAGAACAGACTAGAGTGGGCAAAGAATCTCTAGGGAGGAAGCCCTGGGGGCATGGTCCCCTACCAGTGCCAGGAGTGCTTAAAGACGTTGGACTAATACCCAAGAAGGGATCTGTTTGACTTGTGTTCTGTACAGACTGTGAGTGACTTGGCCAGAGGGCTGAGTCACTAGAAACTGCTAGAGAAACTGCCAGAAGGGGGTCACCATAAACTCAGAAAAGTGCAGACACACCTGACCAGAAGGGAGTGCTCACAAGAGGTGGGTGCCACGCTGTTACACAGCCGTTCACGCTGACTTAATTATAAACAAAAATTAAAGATCTTCTTTAACTTCTACTTTTTAGTAGCTCCAGCAAATTTCAGAGTCCTAGTTAGATAAATATTTGAGGTGTGGCAAGTCTTGTACCATTAAAAAATGTTTTGCACCTGTTTCATTCTTAACTCCCTATGTATGGTACTCATAGTCCACTGTTCGCCTGCTTCTTTATGTGCACGTTATGGCCAATATTAATGCTGACCCCAGACAGGTCCAATGAGGAAAGTGATGCAGGGAACTCCTTTTCCCCAGTTCACCCCTGCTGGGGGGGGGGTCATCATGGTTTGTCTGCGTACGCTCTCTGAACAAAAGACCTGCAAAAGCACTAGAACTGACAGAACTGCATAGGGCAGATTAGAGATGTAGCCAGGCCCCATCCTCCCAGTGTATCAACTAGTATCAGGTGGGAAGCAGTGGGAGAAAGCACACACTACTCTTTTTGTACAAGTATAGTAAGTGCTGCTCCCTGAATGTCCCATTATGTCTCCCTTTTACTACCACTTGGGCACTAGAGCTGCTAAGCTTCTCCACAGGTTTTCCCACTGGCAGTCAGAGCTATAATTTAACCATTTATCTTTAGGTTCAATATTTTACCCTCGCCCCATGCAAGAAAACATGTCAGAACCACGTAACGTGAGTGTCATTTATTGGTTTAGTTTTCTCTTTCATTATGTATTAACCTCAGTCCATTTAAAAAGCTTCTCCATGGCAAATGCCCTCTCCATCATATCACCTTGATATCTTTACACCTATCACACTTAATCCATTCTCCAGCTGGGTTTCAAAGGACTCCATATGTCTATGCTCTCCTATTTGGACTCTAAGGAGCTGATAGCCAGATTATTTCGTACTGTAATGTATTCCATACCTCACTTCATAGACTCTTCATGAAAGAAGACAGCTTCATGGTAATTTATATTCTGGTGCTATCATGAATTTAAGATAACCCCCTTTTTCCATTTGCAGATTCCACATTCCTCATTTGGTCATCAGGTGAAATAGCTACAGCTTCTTGATATGAATCTCACAAGCTATATACATCCACATTAGGCCAACTACAGAATACTTTTTATAGTACCACAACGTTTTATTCCTTTTATTGTTCAATTTTGAAATAACCTCCTTTCCTATATTATATGTCTTATATATTATTAGTTACTTCATTTGTTTAGTTGAGCAAAAACAATGCTTAGAAATTACACTTATCTGAAAAAATTGGGGCCAAAACTTCAAGTGATACCTTAACATTCGTGCACCCTGAAAATTCTTCCCTCGATTTTTTTTTTTATAGTTTGGATGGACAAAATATGCTTGCCCCAAAACTCAAATTTGCACTTTAAAATAGCAGATGCACATCCATACTAAACAGTACTTTCATAAACTCTTCACAAAGAGACTATCTAAATTGTTCAGAACCATCTGTCTATTGATAGAGGGTTGTGGGCTTTTCACTCAGCTGTGTTTGTAGTATGAACTGCAAGGAGGAGGAGTTAGAGAAGTGCTTCCAATCAAGACCCTGAATAACTCTTGTATAGATTCAATGGTTTGCTCAGTTTTTGTCACTGTTTTGTTTTCTTTAGCATGTCTGCAACTGACAAGCTAGCACATTTCGTAACATGTTGCACTCCAGTACATACACAGAGATGCACTATCTACAAATGATGAACATTAACAAGTGTTTGCAGCAAAACATAGCTTAGGAACTTACGTTTGGAATGTTTGTCACAGAGGGCTGATGCCCTCATGTCACAGAGTCTCAAGGATCCTTTGCTGCTGCTGTAGACAAAGAGATTGCAATGGTGGGGATGAAACTCGGATGCAGTAATCACTTCCGTCAAGTCCTCCATGTTGGCTGGCTTTATATCTACAATGTCTGAATGGAGGTTTTATTAAGGAAAATTAAATTGGTTACAAGTAAGTTATGAATCTTGCCACCTCTTTGAAGGCTTATATAGACATTTTCCACATGTTTACAGACAAATAAATTAGTTTTGAATAAAGCATTCTCATTTGTTTGAGAAGAGACATTCAGCATTATTCTGTTTGGCAGTAGCTTTTCTTATTTAATGGTTGCACCACAGAGACAATTAAATTTTCATAACAAAATTAATATAGGACCATTATCTAACATACCTTACTGTGGGTGTCATTAATATGCCTACATTTGCAGTAAAGTGTTGGTGATGGAGATATGGCAGTTGAGGTTTTCAGATCCGTTCAGGGGATCTGATCACCCATCTTTCATTTAAACTAAAGGAGAATCAGTAGCTAAATTCCCTGCACTGCTTGGCAAATCACAATCATCAGTATTTCCCCATAACTGCAATGGCAATTACTGCTGTAGCTCAGATAACACTGATGTATAGATAGCAGCCACTGTACAGCTCACTTTCCCTCCATCCAGTCTACTTAAAATATTGCTGCTAAGACAACTTTCCTCTCCCACTCTTTCGACCTCATCATCCCCTCCTTCACTGGCTTCTTGTCCTTTGCTGTATCAATGTCAAGGCCCTTGTCCTCTGCTTCAGTGCTTCACAGTTTTCCCCAGCCTGCACCACTGCTCTTATTTCCTCTTTCTTTCCCTCTCATTCCCTCCTCTCCTCTAATCCTCTCTCCTAGAACCTCCCTTGGGTCTGCTTCTCCCATTCCCAGCTTCATACCTTTACCCATGCCCCTCCCTGTGCTTGGAATTCCTCCTTCCAATACACTCCTTTCCTCTCAACCTAATTCTATCCTATATACAACACTGGGTGGTTAGATAACCTAGAGCAGTGTTTCTCAAATGCGGCCTCCAGAGGCTTTTCTTGCGAGAACCCCTGACCTAGAGGTTGGACGGTGGTACTAAAAGAAGTTGATTTTATATTGTTTGTAGTGCATGTTCTTAGAATCTCGGGCCAAGCAGATGGAAAGTTGTAGGATGATAGAGGCTCTTTGCTGAAACAGCAAATGGAATTAGAACCGTAAACAGACATTCAGAAGTGTCATGGGCTATCACAAAATGGTAGATGAATGTGAGCCACCCGGATATTTCAGACCTAAAAGATGCAAATGCTATGTAAGGAGGGGGAATAATTGGTTATAATTGACATTGACATACATTAATAGATCACAGAAGCTAGATAGACTGGAAGACCTAACAGGTTTCCCACCCATCCCTTATCTCCATCAGTGCAAGTGTCAAGAAAGTCTTTTTACTGGTAAAGGATATCAAGAAGGTCACTAACTAGTATAGCTAAAAGACTTTCAGCTAGATTCTGGTCTCATTTACAGCAGTGACATCAATGTAACTCCACTGTATTTGATGAGTTAATCTTTATTTACACTGGTATGTAAGATCAGAATCAAGCCTGTAGTCTGGACAATTTGTATGATTGCCCTAAAATTATGGGAATCATTGCCTTACATCATTATGCAACTTAGAGAGGATTTTTAAAAAGGTATGTGCATTTTTTTCACATGCAAATTGTATACAAACTTAGATGCACGTATGCAAACTGATGAGTGTGAATATGTACCAGTCTCAATGCAAAAATCAAGGTTTGTGCATGCACAAGAGTGCACGCTTGTGTGCTGCTTTTGAAAATCGCACTGAGGGCTAAATTTCAAAAAATGGTATAAAAAAACTGGTGCCTCCAATTTTTCATGTCTCACCTTTTCCAAATAGAATTTTCCAAATGAGTCCAATCTTGCTCCCATTGAAATCAATGGGAATTTTGTCATTGCCTATAATAGGAGCAGGTTTGGGTCCTGCAGCTGTGAATACAAATTGTGTAGATGCCTAACTAATCTATCTGCATGGGCAAATGCATTTAGAAAGCATAAATCAGAGTTCTGTGTGTGCCAAATTTTAGATGTGAAAATATGTAGACAATTTCAGGTGCTGAGTAAAGGACCTCTGAAAATTTGCCCAAATGTCCCATTTTTGGTAAGAAAAAATCATAAACATAGAATATACTATGAGCTTCACTACAAATTTAAGTTCCAGCAGTGCAGTCCATTGTGGAAAATTCCCACTGAAGATAATGCTTATTACTGAAATCAATGTAAATTTCTGTGAAAAAGGGACTGTAGCTCTGAGCTCTTATCTGGTCATATCTGAACTATATAACACACCAATTAAGTATCCCATGTACACATCAGCCAATCAATCACTATTATTAAAAATTGATATGATGCATAACTTATATGGTACTCCTCAGTCACAGCCATTCATATAGATCCCATGCTTTGGAGATCTTATGCTCTGGGAAAGACACAAAAAATAAAAAACAAGAGAAGATATGGAACAACAGCTCAGGAAAGGGGAAGTGAGAAGAGAGATTTCTGGTGAAGAAAAGGAGGAAGGAATATTTCCTAGAAGAAGAGGATTTTAAGAAAGCAGTAGTTGAGGAGGCATTGTGATGGAGCGTTCATTCCCACACCAGCTCTGAAGGGGTGAAGGTGGCCCAGAAGGGCCCCATTCACCTTCACAGATGCACCTGATGGGAGGCCCAGGGACTGATAAATACTAATTGCTGATGATGCCCAACTGGTAACGGATTATAAAGAGGAGAAGTTTGTAGTACCAGGAGGCTGCAGGGAGAAAGTCTGTAGTCACTCTCTGGGAGCAGGAAACCCAGTAGGGAGAATAAGTCCTGGGATCCTGCCTCTGGAAGAAGGGTCAACCCCAGAGGAGTTGTGGAGAAAGAAAGCCTGAAAAGGCAGGGTAGGAAGAAGCTCAGAGAAACAGCAGCAAGGAGGGGGACTGTGTAGACCTTGGCTGATGGTTATGGGGTCGCTAGACTGGAATCCAGTGTAGAGGAAGGACCTGGGTTCCACTACCAGCCACTGGGAAGTGGTGCTGGACTGTTTGAGGTGCAATCTGAACAGCTAGTCCAGCAAGACTTTGATACCCCAGAAGGGAAAGGGGGGGTATATAGTGACCTAGCCAGAGGGCTGAGTTGTGAGTAGGGAGCACTGTGAATTTCTGTAGCGACGGAATGACCACTAGCCATGCATGTGCCATGCAGACGAACTGCTATGCCATGCCTGCCCAGGAGGAGGAGGTGCTCTTGTGGTGAGTGAACACCATTACAGGCATACAGTGAAAAGAAAGAGTAATAGTACGGCAGAGTATCTGAGTAAGACTATATTCTCACATGATCCTCATCGTTGTAGTGTCTGCAAACCTTCCAAAGACTAATGAATTTATTTTCACAATACCCCTGCGGAAGAGGAAAGTATTACTATTCTATCCTTCGGATAAGGAACTGGGGCAGAGAGAATAAGTTGCTTGCCCAAGGTCACACCGAAAATCCACGATAGAGCTGTGAAGTGAACACAGATCTATTGAATCCCAGATCAGTGCCTTAAACATGAGACCCTCCTTCCCAGCTGTCATGCTTCCCAAAACATAAAATTTGAATCAATTGGCATAAGAGATCATTTGAACATTCCCGGAGAATGAGATAATAGGAAAATGTTGTTTTATTAATGGCCAGAAAAGTCATATGTTGTCTTACTAAGCCAGTCCCTGTGCTTGTTGAAGTAGACAGAAAAACTTTAATTGATTTCAGTGGGAGCAGGGTCAGGCCCATCACAGAAATTACAACTACTCTTTGATCTTTCCTGAGCCTGTAGATTTCAGAAGCATTAAAATGAAATTAAAATTTAAAAGTAACAATATGCAAGTGTAGATAAAATTATCATAAGTTTGCCTGGCTTCACACTGACCATATCATATATTACACTGAATTGGTTTTAAAAAGAAAAACGGCAGTGAAGAATGGGAGTAGCTGGTGACATTTCATAACAAGAGGACATGAATTAATGTTGCATTTCAATGGCATTCCTAAGAAATTACTTACAGTATCACATTTGCATCCATCTCTAGGAATCCATCATCATTAATGTTAGTACAATGAATACCAAGATGTGGTAACACTGATTTACCACCTATTATGAAGTATCCCTAAATGTTCTTAAAATTCTAACGGGCAGAAATATCCTTTATTTGGTTATTTGCATTTGGTAAATCTGTCTGAAGAAATTTGTTAGTAAAAGCCATTGCTTTCAGTGATTGAATTGCTTTCAGGAGATCAGAGGAATTACGGTAACTCGATGCAAGAATTTCACCTGTTAGTGGAGAAGATGAATAATTGCTGAGTGATGAGAAAGATATAAAATATAAATAGAGTGTGCGAAACAGTCAGACCAAGTATCATTTTTCTGGAAGCTGAAGATGGTATTGATGAATTTCCCTTCATTGTACAAAATGAATAGCCCCACGCTGAATAATGAAATTAAATATTCCATTTCCCAGCTGAAATACATAAAACACTTGGAACAGAAGCCATTTCTAGATGCGATCTCCATCTCCATTGAGACAGAGTAGACTTCATTGCCTTTCGTGGATCATACATTAAATGTATGAACAAAACCCATAATTCCATCAGATTGAAGCAAAAATAAAACAAGTGTATAGCCCCTATACTAAAGTAAAATAATCAAAAGAAACAAACTGTTGAAGAGATTTACCCCTAGTAAGTTTGTAATATGTAAGGAACAGCCCAGTACTTTGACAGCTACATAACCCAATGTATCAGAAACAGATTATGTCACAGAAAAGAACATTTTTCTCATCTTTTAATTTTTGCCATCCATCTGACAACTATCAAGTATGGCTCGACAGGTGATGTGTGGGCACTGTATTTAAACTAGTATGACAAGCGATGGGCAAGCAGAACAGAAGCATCTCCCATGAGACACTTTGCATTTTTATTTTTCCATTTCCCCCTTATGCTGGGTTTTACCTGGTATTCTATAGCAGAGAAATACAGAACAATTGTGCCAGGTACTCTGTTCTAGATCCAGCCCCCTTTGTGCAACCTGAGC